TCCTCCGTCACCTTGGCAGGAACATGATCGAGCAGTTCTGTAGAATCCCTCCAACCCTGGGACTCATACAGGTTATGATAGAATGCCTGAACCTCGGCCTTGTCTTCCTCTTCGTTTGCACAGACCGAGCCATCCGATCTACATAAACCCTGTATTCTGTTGATTCGCTTCCTTTTTGCAGCCTGAGCTTGGAAATACGATGTATTACGGTCTCCTTCTCTCAGGCAGGGAACACGTGATCGCTGTCGGAACCAGATCTCTTCCTGATGAAGAGCTTCTCGAAGCTGCCGAACCACTGTTTTCTCCTCATCTGTAGGCCCCCGGCCAACCGAACGACAACGTAGGTTGTCAAGCCTCTTCTGTAGTTGTCTGACACGGCGTGTTAAACAGCCAAATTCGCGAGTCCCCCAAGGTTCAAGCGTCTCCTTTAGGTGACTTAGTGAATCCACAATCCCTTGAAGGCCCGGTCCCCTATTTACCTCCTGCCACGCATTGGTGACAACTCGATCATAGTCCACATGCGATGAACAAACATTTTCATATCGGAACGGTCTCTTTGCACATGACATGTTATTGATCTTTTCCCTTATCTCCGCTACAACAAAGCAATGATCAGATTCGACAGAAGAAACATGCCTGATTCTGATGTGTTGAAAGTGTTGCCGGAATTCCTCGTTGGCGAAGACCCTGTCGAGCCTTGCCTTAACATTCGCATCACCCGCTTGACGATTGTCCCAGGTGTATGGAGTGCCTGACCACCCCAAGTCTTGGAGGGCCACCTCATCAGTTACTTCTCTGAATGCTCTCATCTGTCTCTCTGGCCTAGCAACCCGACTAAAGTGCTCATTAGAGAAGAGAGTTTCATTAAAATCACCCAAACATATCCATGCCGCATGCGGTATGTTATAAAGAGTGCGTAGGAAACGCCAATTATGGTGTCTATCTTCCGCTCGGGCGCCCCATAGAAACCAGTAAACCTCCATTGAAAGGAGTTTTGCTCTTTAAATTTAACAGAAACATCAATGTGACTAGCACTATAATTGTTGAGGTCCACAATAACATCAGCGACCAAAACAAACCAATACCACCACTTAGACTAGTACTATCAACCGCAAAGCACCCGCCGAAGCCTAGATGTCTTTGCAAGTCCTCAACCCTCTTCCCTTTGATTTTTGTTTCCATGACGAAGAGGAGTGTGGGTCCTTCTAGCTTCACAACATTGCGAAGCTCTCGAACCGCCTCGGGGTTCCCAAGCCCCCGGCAGTTCCATGAGAGGCAACTCATTGGGATGGGCAGGACCGATGACCGGTCTCTGCCGAATTTTCAGGCGTTGGCCTCTTCTTTTTTGGTTCACAAACCAGATCCTCATCATCCTCTCCCCCTGCAGTGCTCGTGCTCGGCTCAAGTTCTCCGGGGATATGCGCCGCCGTCAGAAGCAATTGCCTGGGTTTGTAGACTGCTGTCGGTCCCTCTTTCCTCTTATACCGCACGTTTTCTTTGTTCTTCAGGGGCGAAATCACCTCTTCCCCCCATCTTGACTGGTTTTTGTTCTGGAGTTTCTTGTCTCTTGCTTGCTACTCTGATCAGACTTCTGTCCCCTCGAGGAATTGTCGCTGCTTGCTGGATATCTGGTCTCGTCAGGAGCTCGCAATGATGGTCCAAACGGCAGCTCTCCCTTGTCATCTCGTGAACCAGGATTAGAGCAGTACAGATCCGAATGGCCCAGCCTAACACAAGAGAAGCAGAAGTATGGGATCTGCTCATATTGCATATCATAGTGATCCACCTTCTTCCTCCTTGCCGAATCTATTAGCACCCATCTCCGGAGCGGTTTATTGACATCCACAGAAACCCTTGCTCGGAGATAACCTCCATTGTGATCGAACTTTGCTATCTGCACCTCCTTGTCAATCGTCCGAGCTATTGGGAGGCACCATGCATCATCTCGCAGGTTGTAGGGTAGATTCAAAACCCTAACCCATACTTGTAGCCGATCAAACTTAACCTTGTCAGGGCACATGCACTCGTCGAACTCAGCCAGGATGACCGCGTTCTTGTTGATATGCCATGGCGATCCCGCCCATACTCTATCTCGATCACGCTGGGCTTCAAATTCAGCGACAAAGGTGTTCGTCCCAGTTGATCAGAATTGCAGTCCTCTAGGGTTTCCCCACGCCGGTCGCAAAGCGTTGCCAATGGTGTGAATATGATACAGGTTTTGGTAGAGAACCTTCCCTGCTAGCAGCCACTTCACCGGAGCACCGTCTTGTCGATCATCTATCACGAGGGGAGTCGCCTCCTCTTCGGATATATCCAGCTTCCCCAGGGCTTCCTCTAGTTTCTCCCTCGCCGAGCGAGGGTTGGTCGGCCCAGAGTCACCTCGCACCGTCTCCGCCGTTGGTGGTGTAGCCATACCCCCGGCCGAGTCCTCGGGGCGGCCCGCCGATGAGATCCGCGGCCGCCGATCGGTTTCCACTCCAAACCCTAGCGCCGCCAAAGAGCCCTAGGTTTCGGGGAAAAAAACTCCTGATGACTCACGTAGTTGAGACTATCAGATTGAGTTTTTCTGCTAGCATAGATTCCTCCTTGCCTTCTCCCCAGTATATGCGTAGCTATGAGTTGCACCATTGCAAAAACAGGTTGTCCTTGCCTAGCACCGACATCCCCATCCTTGCAGCAGTGTTTTATGTGGTGGCTCGCCGCCGTAGCAACATGCTCGACACCTCACATCGTCATTGTCACTAAATCCATACCTCCCACGCGTTGCTGGTGCCTCGTCGCCGTAACATCCATCGCCACTATCGCGGAATCCCGCCTCCCACTGGTGCAGGGTCAACTGACCAAAGATATCACATGTAAGGAGTTAGAGTTAAAGATAACCAACGACACGGAGACGAAGATGTATCCCGATGCTCTCTTCCTTGGAGGTAAGCTAATCACAGTTGGAGCCTTGGAGAGATGAGTGTTAGCACAAAGTCAGACCAACACCACAAAAGAGTTAACCTATTCTTTTTGAGATATCACAAAGAATTTGATTCTCAACCACTAGTGGTAGACCTTAGGCGGCCTCCAAACCTTTAAAAACTTCTTGGGTAAATCACAAGAAGTTGATTCCTCACCAGAGAACTCCTAACACCCAAGACTAACAAGACAAGTGCCAAGGATCCAAATCAAGCTGAACTAAAAGAGTAATTGGTCAATGTGCGAGGAATGAGTGGATCTTGCTTTTGGGATGATTCCCTCTTGAATTTCTCCAAGAATCAATGGTTAGGGTTTGGAAGAGGTGGAGTAGAAGTGTGGTGGCCGTGGATGTATATTGCTCTAGAGGTGACCCTAATTCTAACTAAAGAGGAGTGTATATAGCGATAAGTGAAATCTGCCCGCTATGGTCCAAAAATGACACACTAGAAAGTCCGGTCGATCTAGACCAGACAGTCAGGTAACAGACTATACAAACTAGGGTTTGTGAAGAGTACATAAAATTTGATCTACTGGACAGTCTGGTCTATCCATAGAGCATTCTAGTCCGCTGAACAGTTGACCGGACGGTCTGGTCCAGAGGGGTAGAGTGTCTAGCGGCAACAAAAGGTTCTGGGGTGACTAGATTGGGCACCAGACAGTCTGGCCCTTTGGATCAGATAGTCTAGCCTCGACCACCAGACAGTCTGGTCCAGAAGGACCGGATAGTCTGCTCACAACCGAGAGATTCAGCCGGATGTAGATGACCTACTGAATAATCTAGTCCCGGGATCAAACAGTCTTGCGGTACTAAAAACTTCTAGACATGGTAGATCATGTGAACTATTGGCTTTTTTGTGGCTAGTCCCTTTTGGTGATCATGTGTGTAATATTTGAAATGCGGAATGAGCTCAATTCTTCACCTTCGTATGTCCCTTTCTTAATAGTGCGGGATCCGTATCAACTCAATATCATAAATAAAGGGCTAATCTAAGCCTTCGAGGATCCACGACGACGTCTTTAATTTTGGACAGGTGAGGAGTGGGGGGTCGACCATCCTCCATCAATCACCATACATGGCACTAATACCTGAGATATACTTGCAAACTACATTGATCCATATAATGTGTGTGTATCATCAACACCCAATATCATATGAAGTGTATCGTGCACTTTTAGGAAGAGAGATAGAATATAGGGATAAGGATGCGGGAGGAAGGGGATGCGGTGTGTGGGCCCACGGGATATGTGTCGCTCGAATGAGGCAGCTAACGCAGCGTGAGCAATCAGACGGTGTTTAAAAGCCTTTTCCCTTAATTCTTATCAAACCTTACCACATCAATAAGTTATCACATCGACCATGTTATTAGCTGGTCATCTCATCATAATCATTCCTTGCGATTATTCATATCATCTTTCTTAGACAAACCCACATCATCAACCTATTATTCCATTCTTGTGATATGGACGATTTTTGGAGCTGGCACTTCACATCGATTGTTAGATTTAGATTTAAGAGTTGAGGAAGAAGGGCATGCTTACCTATTATTTAGGCGACTCATCTATTTCTAAATAGTGAGCTAATCTTTTGTACAAGAGTTTTTGTATATGGACTTAAGATAATGAAACAGAGGAAGTAATAGTCAGAGTACTAGAGATAAGTTCTCCATTAAGTACTTGAATTTAACTTATTACGGAGCTTCCTCGAACTGTTAAATGCTAATTTAACACAATGTGTTAACAGTGACTCTAACAATATATCATAAATATATGTCTCTAAGCATTCTGTATTGGATCATTACACCAGTTTAGACCTCCTTAATCAAACTCCATGACAACCCACCTTTATGTACAAAAGAAAGCATATTATCTACGATAAGTTGCATAAATATTTCTGAAACATCTTCAAGCCTTTGGATCGATACTCAACGTCATGTGCAACTCTAGTGATTGACATTTACAAATTTTCATGCAACTGAGAATTAATAAAACCGTAGAAAACGGTGTGTCCTAGTCATACTTGTAAAGCTTCAGGTTTCGACTTATCTAGGATAGGGATCAGTATTAGTGACCTCATTCACTGAGAAATTATCCTCCACAATCACATCAGATTTGTCGTATATATAATTGCCATGTCTGGCATGTTCGAAAACTGAACTGGAGTCTCTCGCAAAGAAAAATGCTGGTTGTCGTGGTGGCTGTAGTTTTACTCTGTCTCGGGTTAGCATGAGTACAACTGAGGATATGTTCGGTCTGTCATCTGGATCCTCTTGGATGCAAAGAAGACCGATGTGGATGCAGCGCAATACTTCACTTTTGGAGTATACATTGAGCGATTTGTCAACTATTTGCAATGTCATATCCTTAGTCCAGCAGTTATATACCTGGCATATGAGTATATGCTGTACAATCAGGTTATCAATTTTTAAGTATCCTTGCACTATAAAGTAGCTGAAAGTACTGCTTACATCGCTTAGGAGATTCACTGTGTTATTGTAATCATCCGAACTGTTATTCTTTCTCCTAGTTACAATCTCGAGGATTAAAACACCGAAGCTGAAAATATCAATCTTGGGAGACACGTTTCCAAATATTGCATACTCTGGTGCCATATAACCGCTGTGAAAGATTAGGCATTAAACCTAGAAAAACAATAGTGTATAATATTCAACTATGAGTCAATCTGTTTCCACTTACTATGTTCCAGCAACATTAGCTGTCTTGGTCTGAGTATGGCCTCCTCCTAACAGCCTTGCCAACCCGAAGTCTGCGATTTTTGGATTCATGTTCTCATCCAGCAAAATGTTGTTAGACTTCAAATCCCGGTGAATGATTCTTATGCTCGAGTCTTCATGAAGATACAATATTCCCTTGGCGATTCCAACAATGATATTATACCGCAGGTTCCAATTTAATTTCCTTCCCTTCCTTTCATCTGTTTCAATAAAGTCAGGAACTTAATCATGTGGCGCTCTGTAAGAACAACGGGAATCATATTAAAATAGGAGACAAAATCTACAGTGAATGATGATGATGCACTTAAAATACAACTCTAATATTTCTTGGTCTTATCACAAGTAGTTTCTTCACATTTATTGTTTCAGTAAAGTTTGTAATGACATTCATAGATTCAAAATCAACAAATTCATTCATTATGCTATGCACATCACAAATTATTCCAACTGTCCTGAAAATTTTCAGACACGGACAATTTCAATCTGCAATGACAAGTTAGTTATGACAAAAACGTTCATGCTCGATCGGTAATTCAGGATGAAATTACCAAACAGGAAGTTGTGGAGGCACCCGTTTTTTACGAACTCGTAGACAAGCATCACTTCATTCTGATGTGAGCAATACCCCAGTAACCTGACAAGTTTTATGTGCTGGAGCTGAGCCAAAACTTGCACTTCATTGTGCAGCTGATTCAGTCCCTCTCTACTAGTCTGTGAAAGCCTTTTCACTGCCACTTCTTGCTCATCTGGAAGTGTTCCCTGTAACGAACCCGCCTTCCTTAGAAAATAATAAGAGCATCATGGTTCATATTGCACCTAGACTTGTTTGTTTACCTTGTACACAGTACCAAAACCGCCCTCTCCGAGCTTATTCTCCTCGGAGAAGTTCTCTGTTGCCTCTTGCAGTGTAGGTAAATCAAAGATCATACATTTTCCTCTCGCAGCGTTATGAAATGCCAGTCCTGCAAGAATAAAGAGCATCAATAAACTGTAAACTCATGGACTTTGAAATCTACAAAATGCTTCTTACCTGGCTGCTTCTTCGAAGGTTTTCTTTTCTTGAAGCAAATAAAAGCAGAAGCAGAAAGTATTAATACAAAGACAATGGTACAGGCCACCGATGCAGAGATCTTTGCTGCTGATCTTTCCTTCTGCCCTGAATAAAGAAAGAAATTTATCTTGTGATTCCGTCCTAAGACTTTTTTATTTTAGAAAAACTTATTTTCTTTTACCATATTTGACCCAATTACTGGGTGTTTATTGGTCAGTCGTCAGTACTCGTAAAGAACGGTCAAGTGTGCACTGTTCAACCTTCATTATCTTATCCAGTTTTGTTAATTCTGGTAAGTCGACAAGAATCTACTACTCCCTCTGTCCCATAATATAAGAACGTTTTTGACACTACATTAGTGTTAAAAACGTTCTTATATTGTGGGACGGAGGGAGTAATAGATACGGGAGTATGGGAGAAGTCTATGAAACAAGGAGTCCAAGATATTGAACTGGAGTAGCATGTGGACTGTGTAGTGAGGAAATTTGACAAACACCATGTGGGCAACAGCCACCCCACCGGCCCATTGATATTTCTGAAAATTTCGTCAAAAAAAAATTCTAATCAATAAGTGTGCCATGTTATTACCTCTTTTATTCGACGGCGGTGAAATGTCCACCGGTGACGGCGGCGAAATGTCCACTGGTGACGGCGGCATTCCAGCAAATGCCGGCACCGGAAGCCGCAGAAGAGGGCTGCCTGAGAAGAAAGGATACAACTCGTACCGGTAGTTGCATCGGATCCAAAAAGCCCTTCCGCTCTGCCCCCCGCTGAGATACCTGGGCATCATCTGAATTATATCCCCGAGGCAACTCCGGCAGGCGGCCGGCGCCAAGTCCGGCGTGCACTGCACCAGCGCGTAGATCGCGGGGATTCCGCCTCTGTCGAACATCTCCTCGCCCGTGGCAAACCGCTTGGACGAGTTCGAGGACGCGTAGTCGGCGGTGGCGTTCAGGAGCACGCCGACGGCGTTGTCGAACACCACCGCCGGCGCGGACACGTTCCGCGCGTCCGTCTGGAAGATGAACTGGTTGCCTCGCCCGTCGGTGTCGGGCAGGAAGTTCTGGTTGGAGAAGTGGAGGAGGCAGAGGTCGTAGAAGACGGACGCGTCCTTGCTGAAGGCGCAGAGCTGCTGCGCGTCCTGGAAGGCGGTGGTGACGCAGGCCGCGCAGGCGGAGGCGTTGGTGTCGCCGCGGCAGAGCGCGAGGGCGTAGACGATGTCCGGCACGGAGCCCACACTGCCGGTGGCGAAGAGCGTTGGGGACGCGGATGCGTTCTTGGGGAGGCTGACGGAGAGCTGCCCGAGGTTGGACTGGTAAGTGCTGTTCGCCGAGTAGCTCCCGCTGTCACCGCACACCTGTGGTTGCGCGGCAGCCAGCCACACGAAGAAGATGGGCGCGAGGAGCACGGCAGTGAGATTGGCGAGGGCGCGGTGGCCCGTTGCCATGGGCGGCGGTGCCGGTGCAGTGGTGTGGCCGGTGAAGAGAAGTTCGTGACGACTTCCATCGTGCCGTGCAAGCTCTTAGGACATGGATGGTTTGACTCGCAACGTGGCGTTGTTTGACATTACAGAGCAAGATGAGAATGACGCATGGGACCCAACGCCTACAAAGTCAAGCTCCTGTGGTTCGGAGTGTCAAGCTCATGGACTTTTCTGCAGTAAAGTAACCTGTATTCCATACACTGCAATCCTAGCAGAAATTTTTTTGATGGCCGGAAGAATTGGATCGACATTCTCAAAACATTGTCCGGGAAGCTAATCAAGTGGTGCACAAATTAGTTCCGTATACTTTTGATTCAAATTATGTTATCTTGGGAAGGTTGTCCCCCAATTTATTTTTATGAGTTTTTGAACCATGTAATAAAGTTTAAAAATCGAAAAAAGAAAGGTGTCAAAAGTAGAAATATCATATCTTCTTAAGGAGCCAAACTGTAGCTAGAGACTAAGAGGATTAGGTTTTGGCTGGATGCGAGGTGCCAACTTATCAAGCACGAAAGTCGTAATATCCCAGTTATGAGTATTGTATCCAAAATAGTCTATTTTTTTCGACAAAACTTTTCATCTATTTATCTTTCGTCATGGCAATATAATGAATATAAAAATAATAAAAATTACATCCATATCCATAGACCACCTAACGATGACTACAAGCACTGAAACAAGCCGAAGAAGCGCCACCGTCATCGCCCCTCCCTGCCAGAGTCGGGCAAAACTTGTTGTAGTAGACAGTCGGAAAGCCGCCGTGCTAAGGCCTTATAGGACCAGCGCAACAGAACAACAACCACCACCGTTGAAGAGTACCGTAGCTCAGAAGGATCCAATATGAAGATGCCCAAACGTAGGCTAACTACGGAGCAAATTCACCAAGGATAAATTCGTCGGAGTCACACCTCCACACACCCACCGATGGTACTAGACACACCATCAGTACCAGGGCTAGGCGGAGAGAACCTTATTCCACCTTCAGGGAGCCGTCCCCATTTGGTCTTCCTGAGCAAGATACAAACCCTAACAAGACTTGAAGAAACATCTGAAAACGGAGCCCTCCTGCCGGTAAGGGTTGGGATCCATTGCACCGCCATGGTCATAAGATCACCGGAGACTAGGTGGACCAACGGCGGTGCCGACGCGGGGGTGGGGGGGGGGTGGTGCAGGGGAACCCTAGTCTTTTCTTGGGGAGAAGGCAGCAGCGTGGACACCTTGAGAGGACCTTACAAGTTTAATAACAAAATCTAATTGATTTACGGCTAATCAGTATTAATTAAAAAGGAGAATTATGATATTGATATAGTGTGACCTAACCCCTGTTACTCCAATTGAAATTCTTTCCAGAGTTCTTAAAGATATTCTCTATTTGTTTCCGTTTCCCTACAATTAAGTACAGTCTGACACCATTCCTCGTATTTTCAGCAAGTTCATACCGCGAGCGCTGACAGTTCAAAAAAAAAAAAGAAGCAAGTTCATACCAGTCGTTACTCAAGGATGGAGCTCCAACCTCCACGCCTCATTGCAACCTAAACGTTGGTCCTACCCTGGCAAAGCAAGCAAGAAGAAGCACTGTGGAAACAGGGAAAGAAAGATCATGGGAAGAAGTAATAAAGTGTGTTACACCTCCGCCCACCCGTCCCTCGCGTCGCCTCTTTGGTGACATGAGCGAAATCCAGTAACCGCACCGCCGGCCACCCTCCTCCACCTCCTCTCTCTACCGCCATCGCTGGAGATGCCACTGGGCTAAGGCCGCGTGGCGGACGGCGGCAGGGGGGAGGGGATTCTCGCCTGGCAGCTCTCGGTGGGAGAGGCCCAACCCCCTTCGTCGCTCTGCATGGTGGCACGTGACCGGGGGACTTCAGTCAGCGCTCCTCTCCGGCGTGATCGGTGCAAGGCTTACAACTTTCTCCTGTGTTGCGCATAGCAAAATCGGAGCTGCTGGTCCTCGACGTCTGCGGTCGATTATTTGGCTTCTTTGGCTGGCAAGGTCCTTGTGTGTCGCTCATTTGAAGGGGTCTTGAAGGGTCATCAACGGTGAATTCGGAGTCGCCTGCTCGGGGAGAGGTGATGATGATGACATGGCCGGTAACCTCGATGCTGGCCTTTTCTTGGTGGTGTGTGTGGTCTTGTTGGTGCCAGGTTGATCGGGGTGCCCATTCTTATGGATGTGTTGTAACAATTTTCACACAGGTTTCATTAATTAACCGGGCAACTCTATTCTACCTTTTTTAATGAATCTAATCCTAAGGAACCGTGTTTCAATTTTTTAAGAAGGGTAAAAAACAAAGTGCGTCGGAAGGCTTTCCCGTCAAAAAGAAACATTTACATTTTCACCCCTAACTTGAACCCAGTATTTACAATTACCCAAGTTTCAGACCTACTCATTTTTGCCCCTATTTCATTGCGTGGTGTTATAGAAATATTCGTTAGCGACATTTCTGTCTTGTCTTCCTTGCTTGCTAAGCTTTGCGACGTTTCTGTGTAGCTACCAATGCTTTACGTTATTTTGTAGAATCCGTTAAATATTTATTATCCCTAACATGAACATCAAAAAACAACAACGACCATTCATGAAGATGCTCGAATAATACAAAAGAACGAAAATCACTTGAAACTATAGAGGAATGTCATGAAGCTTAGAGCATCTACAGCCGGACGCCCTATATCCATCTCATACGCCCGGACAGTCCGTTCAATCACCGACCGGTCACGAAATATGGACCCAACCGGAGCTCTCAAACGGGCCTCCAACGCTTGGGCTAGCCGGCATCCCTCACATCCATTCCAAATGTAGGGCGGATATGAGGCAGCCCGGGCACGTCAGCCTGACCCACCGCTGGCCCACCCCGACCCCACAAAAATCTCCGTCTGGCAGAAACCCTAGCTCACTCCGCTCCCCTCCCCTCCTCGACGCTCTCATTTCCCCAATCTGTCAAATCCCTAGCGTCGGCGAGCATGTACAACACCGGTAGCCGCTCCGACGGCAGCTTCGATGATAAGGAGGAGTTGGCGCTCCGTATCGCGCTCGAGCGCTCGCGGGTCGATATGGGCAGCAGCTCCGGGTCTGGTGCGACGCCTCCTGTCGCCCGTCGCGGCACCGCCGATGTCGGCACCGGCCCTTCCCGCCCCACGCACGGATCTACGAGGCCTGCCCGATCAGCTCCTCCCGGCCGACGACCTCCTCCACCTTCGGTCGCTGCTCCACGCGGGCAGTGCTGGGTTCTAGTGCCCGCCCAGCTGACGTCGCGGATGTGGACTCTAGAGTCGGAGGCACGAGTTGCCCACCGCGAGAGGCAAAGGGCAAGGGAGATGGCGGGTGATGGTGTCCTAGACTAGGGGGTACTCATCACGTCGTCTCCTGACCAGGTGGATCGGGCCGAGGACCCCCATGGTGGTTTGCTCATGGGCCACTTCAGGCATCCCATGCCATACACAAGGAGGTTTCCACAAGACTTGGTGCACAAGACAAGGAGTCCTCTAAATCCTAGACCTCTAGTGCATTATATGAATCGAGGCCAGGCTAGTGAATAGATGATCTCATATTCATTAGAACAATTTCATGGTAGATACATGTACCATGTACTACACCCATATCAATACAATCAAAAGCAGGACGTAGGGTATTATCTCTTCAAGAGAGCTCGAACCTGGGTAAAATCCCGTGTCCGTGTTACCATAGCTCCAAGACGCCTAGCATAGGACCCCTACTACGAGATATGCCGGATATAAAACCGCCATTGGTGCTTTCATTGAGAGCCTGCTGGCAGTCGCTGCGGGGCGATGGGAATTTAGATCGTCTCTGGCGCGATCTACGCGTCGGAACCAAGCTTTCTTGTCGATGTCGGCATCTTCGTTGCTGGCTCGACTGGTCACCTCAGCTGGACCGTGGACTGTGCTCCTCGTCGGATCATCGAGATTGTACGGATACTTACATCATAATCAAACCCGATCTCTATCAAGATAATGGAGGAATCATCCATGGAGCTCGGGGGCTCAACGTCAACATTGCCCTCGGGTGACCGTGCTGTTTTTCTAGAC